TGTTGTTGGATGTTGTTATTGTTGGATGTTGTTGGTGGATGTTGTTGTTGGATGTTGTTGTTGGTGGATGTTGTTGTTGGATGTTGTGGATGTTGTTATTGTTGGATGTTGTTGGTGGATGTTGTGGATGTTGTTGTTGTTGGATGTTGTTATTGTTGTTGTTGGTGGATGTTGTGTTGGATGTGTGGATGTTGTGTGGATGTTGTGGGGATGTTGTTGTTGTTGGTGTTGTTTGTTGGTGGATGTTGTTGTTGGATGTTGTGGATGTTGTTGTTGTTGGATGTTGTTATTGTTGTTGTTGGTGGATGTTGTTGTTGGGTGTTGTTGGTGGATGTTGTTGTTGGATGTTGTTGTTGGTGGATGTTGTTGTTGGATGTTGTGGATGTTGTTGTTGTTGGTGTTGTTATTGTTGTTGTGTGGATGTGTTGTTGGATGTTGTTGGTGGATGTTGTTGTTGTTGGATGTTGTTGTTGGTGGATGTTGTTGTTGGATGTTGTGGATGTTGTTGTTGTTGGATGTTGTTATTGTTGTTGTGTGGATGTTGTTGTTGTTGGATGTTGTGGATGTGTTGTTGGTGGATGTTGTTGTGTGGATGTTGTTGTTGTTGTTGTTGTGTGGATGTTGTTGTTGTGTTGTTGGTGGATGTTGTTGTTGGATGTTCTTGGATGTTGATCTCATTGTTTTGTGTTCGATGTTTTCAGGTGATAATCGGAGCCTTGGAGAGCAGTGGAGATATTGTTTCAGTGTCTTGTTGTGACAACGAGATCTTCATCCTGAAAGGAGACAGAGACATCATCCGTCTCTCTAACAGCCCAGAGGGACTGGCCTCCAACTGTGAGTATACTGTTAATACTATGAGATGGGGACTCGAGTCCGACTTGAGACTCGTCCTCAAAAGATTTCAGACTTGACTCAGACTTGAGGTGCGGGACTCGTGAACAATGAGAGAGAGAGAGTTGACAAAAAAACTTCATACAACAAGACCCAAACAAAGAAGCGCTGAACGCAAAATAGGTTAGTAACCTGAGGTCAGTGAACACGGCCATCTAACGTTAGCTTGCTTCTTGCTTTAGCTACGACCTTCGGGAGGTTAACTCCGACTGTTGATCATTATGAGAAGATGAATGAGCGTTTGTTTGCTTTCTAAACTAGTGGTGGTCGATTAACGTAATGATTTATGTCCCGCTGAACGTAAATGATTATGTTAATTAACGTGATGGCTGCCATCATGTTAATTATTAACGGTGGCTGAAAACAGGTCACAGGTTTATTGTTGATCGTGTAAAGTTGCAGCTTTATGTAGTTAGAACGTTACACTGGCTTTGAGAGTCTGCGGTTGGTGTTGACTTGCAGTAATTAATAAGCTGTCATGAATTGCACTGCACATTGGTTGTGCTCTGTAAGTGAAAAACAGGTCACAGTTACAGACTTTCCTTATAGCTCTGCAGTTTTATCCAGGCAGCCTGGACTGAATGCAGCAGGTGATACAACATTCATTAGAACCACGAGAGACTTGACTTGGACTCTAGCTCTCTAGTTAGCTCAGAGACTGGTGAGCATCTCTGCTGCTACTGCTAATAGTACCTGTAAGCGCCATTTGTTAGTAGCAAGTTTGTTTATGTTATAACATTTGGTACTCTGTCATTCTTGTGTTTATTTTGGTACTTCGGTGCAACTTCTGTATTGGAACGCTTATTTTGAAGTTTGAAAGAAGCGGTAAGAAAAAACAATAAACGAGTGTGGACGGCGGAGCAACACGGTTGTTTTACCGTCGTTGGTTCTCTCCGGGCCAACTCAACACGTAAAACTGTCTTACGTCATTCATACAATGTGGTTATGATAACAGAAGTAAGTTTAGTTGAAGTTTACAATTACGAACAATTAAGATAGCCACTACAGTACCGCTGCTACAGCTGTAACTGCCCACCCTAACCGTACACTGCCTCTCTTTTAACCTCCTGCTGAAGTACTGAAGTACACCTCCAGCAGCACAGGGGGACGGGCCTCCAACTGTAGGTAACACCACCTCTGCTGCTGCGGCAGCCACCCGACCCCGGTGCCCGACTTTAAACACCTCATACTAACACAAAGCCTGAAGGTCTGACCCAGCTGTTATTACGGCCGCCACTACCAAACACATTACTACTAATATTTAAAATACTACGTCTCTGTTCCTCAGTGTCCGAGCTCTCTGTCCGCCTGTCCTCTCCTTTGGCCACACCCACCGTCCTCCCACCGATGGGATCAGTGGAAACAGCTCAGCCAATCAGAACCATGGCTATCATCGTAGAGGCGGGCGGGAGGGAAGAGGGAGGAGGAGGAGGAGGAGGATGGGAGAGGCACAGCGAGGAGGGAGAGAAAGAGGACGAGGAGGAAGGAGTGGAGGAAGTGGAGGAGGCAGAGGAGCAGCTGGAGGTGACTGGTTTCACTGGCTGACACATTTCCACCCTGGTTACCGGTTACTGTCTGTAATGTGACCTGTTCTGCTCCATGTCCAGCAGGCGGAGCAGCTCGGCCAGCGGTCCGGTTTGTTCACCACCAGCTCTCGGAGCCGCAGCAGCTCTGTCACTTCCTGGGACAGTCTCCATGGAAACGCCCCGGTGACCACATCCTGCGAGCTGAGCTGCAGGCGCTACAGCGCCCCCCTGGGTCAGGGGGAGATGCTGCAGGAGCTGGTGGTGAAAGCCATCAGAGTGAAGAAGAAGAAGAGGAGACGACAAGGCAAGCAGGACGACAGAGAGAGAGACAGACTGAGACAGAGAGAGACAGACTAACAGAGAGAGAGACAGACTGAGACAGAGAGAGAGACAGACTAACAGACAGACAGACTGAGAGACAGACTAACAGACAGACAGACTGAGAGACAGACTGAGGCAGAGAGAGAGACAGACTGAGGCAGAGAGAGAGACAGACTGAGACAGAGAGAGACAGACTGACAGACTGAGGCAGAGAGAGAGACAGACTGAGACAGAGAGAGACAGACTGGGGCAGAGAGAGACAGACTGAGACAGACTGAGAGACAGACTGAGACAGAGAGAGACAGACTGACAGACTGAGGCAGAGAGAGACAGACTGAGACAGACTGAGGCAGAGAGAGAGACAGACTAACAGACAGACGGACTGAGACAGACTGAGACAGACTGAGAGACAGACTGAGGCAGAGAGAGAGACAGACTGAGACAGAGAGAGACAGACTAACAGAGAGAGACAGACTGAGACAGAGAGAGACAGACTGAGAGACAGACTGAGACAGAGAGAGAGACAGACTGAGACAGAGAGAGACAGACTGAGACAGAGAGAGAGACAGACTGAGACAGAGAGAGACAGACTGAGACAGAGAGAGAGACAGACTGAGAGACAGACTGAGACAGACAGACTGAGACAGAGAGAGACAGACTAACAGACAGACAGACTGAGAGACAGACTGAGGCAGAGAGAGAGACAGACTGAGACAGAGAGAGAGACAGACTGAGACAGAGAGAGACAGACTAACAGACAGACTGAGACAGAGAGAGAGACAGACTGAGACAGAGAGAGACAGACTAACAGAGAGAGACAGACTAACAGACAGACTGAGACAGAGAGAGAGACAGACTGAGACAGAGAGAGAGACAGACTAACAGACAGACAGACTGAGAGACGGACTGAGACAGACTGAGGCAGAGAGAGAGACAGACTGAGACAGAGAGAGAGACAGACTAACAGAGAGAGACAGACTGAGGCAGAGAGGGACAGACAGACAGACTGAGGCAGAGAGAGAGACAGACTGAGACAGAGAGAGACAGACTAACAGACAGACAGACTGAGAGACGGACTGAGACGGACTGAGACAGACTGACAGACTGAGGCAGAGAGAGAGACAGACTGAGACAGACTGAGACAGAGAGAGACAGACTGAGACAGAGAGAGACAGACTGACAGACTGAGACAGACTGAGAGACAGACTGAGACAGAGAGAGACAGACTGACAGACTGAGGCAGAGAGAGACAGACTGAGACAGACTGAGACAGACTGAGGCAGAAAGAGACAGACTAACAGACTGAGGCAGAGAGAGACAGACAAAGAGACTGAGAGACAGACTGAGGCAGAGAGAGAGACAGACTGAGACAGAGAGAGACAGACTGACAGACTGAGACAGACTGAGAGACAGACTGAGGCAGGCTGAGAGACAGACTGAGGCAGAGAGAGACAGACTAACAGACTGAGACAGAGAGAGACAGACTGACAGACTGAGGCAGAGAGAGACAGACAAAGAGACTGAGAGACAGACAGTTAGTTGGGACATGTCTCTGACTGAATGGTTTGTCTCTCTGTCTCCGTCCTCAGACAGCAGCAGTGGGAACCGTCTCTCTGAGAGCAGCTGTTCAGACTCCATGTTTGTAGTCCAGGACAGCAGCTGTAGTGACGGAGGAAGTGGGACTCCTCTGAGTGACCAAGCCTCCCTTATCGGTCTGGACCTTCAGAACCAGGACTCCCCAGAACCAAACCATGACCAGGACTCACAGGAGAGTCAGGGTATAAAGGATGGAGAGGAGTCGTCCCCCATCGAGTCTGGGTTAGTAGCTGAAGACCAGCAGACAGAAACAGTTGTGTCTCATGCTGGTCATGCTTACCGTCTGTCTCATGTCTTCCTGTCCCAGCTCCCTCCTGCCTCCAGGTTCCCTGCTCCTCCAGGGTCTGGAAGCCTCTGGTCCTGGGGCAGAGGCAGAGGTTGTCCACCGACTCCAGATGTGGATCTGCTTGGAGTGCACCTTTTCCTACATGCACAACGCTGAGGAGGAGGACGGACAGGAGCAGCAGCCAATGGAGGAGCAGGAAGACGAGTTTCTGAGCCCTCTGATTGGACCGGAGGAGGAGGAGGAGGTGGGTCATACATACATGTATCTATCAGGTGATGTCACCAGGACCGTGCAGGAGGACACACAGCAGCACAATGCAAGTTAAATGATATTTAATAATAGTGAATATAATAGTTGTGTTAATAATACAGCCCAACCAGGACTACTAATAATAACTGTAGCAGGAACACAGGGGCAGCAGGAAGCCCACAACCCAGATCGGACGCACAGACATCTGCAACTAGCCCCAGACCACTGAACTGGCCCCAAGACCACTGTAACTGGCCCAAGACCACTGTAACTGGCCCAAGACCATGAACTGGCCCCAAGACCAGTAACTGGCCCCAGCCAGACCACTGTAACTAGCCCCCAGACCACTGTAACTGGCCCCCAGACCACTGTAACTGGCCCCAAGACCACTGTAACTGGCCCCAGACCACTGTAACTGGCCCAAGACCACTGTAACAGCCCCAAGACACTGTAACTGGCCCCAGACCACTGTAACTGGCCCCCAGCCAGACCACTGTAACTGGCCCCAAGACCACTGTAACTGGCCCAAGCCAGACCACTGTAACTAGCCCCAAGACCACTGTAACTAGCCCCAAGACCACTGTAACTAGCCCCAAGCCAGACCACTGTAACTGGCCCCAAGACCACTGTAACTAGCCCCAAGACCACTGTAACTAGCCCCCAGACCACTGTAACTGGCCCCCAGCCAGACCACTGTAACTAGCCCCCAGACCACTGTAACTGGCCCCCAGACCACTGTAACTGGCCCCCAGCCAGACCACTGTAACTAGCCCCCAGACCACTGTAACTGGCCCCAAGACCACTGTAACTAGCCCCCAGACCACTGTAACTGGCCCCAAGACCACTGTAACTAGCCCCAAGACCACTGTAACTGGCCCAAGACCACTGTAACTGGCCCCCAGC